TATATATATATATAGCATATATATTTAAACATGAAAATCTCGTTACTATCATGAAATAACGCATTTATCTTTTTTTGATTCATTATTTTTAGATAAAAATTTTGTAGATTTTTCGGATCTATCTGGCAAATGCCAGTTTGAGATATAAGATTTTTTAATCGATTGTACGCTCTCGTTTTGACACTGCACTGTCGGTACATTTATTACATTGCAATTTTGCGTTTCTTTAATAATTTTACTATCTCTTATAATTTCATTATTGAAACTTTCATTTCTTGTGACATGCTGATTTTGTAATTTTGTAATGTTTTGTCTCGGTTGTTTTGAAGTACTTTTAGTATCATAATTTTGCGATTCAGGAACGTTCTGCCTCTGATTTTCCGAAACATTGTCAATATTTTCACTTTTTAATGTTTCTGCATTAAGATTATGACTTTTAATCTTTGGATATTTTTCTTGATCTTGTATATTAGAAGCATTGTTAGTTGAACCATATAATTTGATAACGTCTTGAATTGGATCTTGCAATTTAGATGTACTTTCAACATTTTGATGTTGATTTAAACGTTTGACACATTTTTTTACAGCTTTTTTTCTAATTGGTACCTCAGGGAAAGCAGATTTTGTGTAAGAACTTATCGTTGATTTATGAGTCTCTAATGAATAATTTTTTTTTAGAATGTGAATATCAGGGGACATATGTTTTTGACCTGTCTCTTTCAAAATTTTTTTATTACAATGCGTTAAATTATTATTCATGATCTTTACATATTTAATGTTATTGGATACATCTACTATTTCTTTTATATCGGCAACTTCCACAACGGATGCAATTTCACGCATTACGTTTTTCAATTCGAATAAGGATTTTGAATTATTATTACTAATATCTTTAAAATCAACCCACGGTATATTCTTATTTAAATTCATATCACTTTTACTTAAATTCGTATCACTTTTATACAATATATTACCTTTATTAGCATTATCTGTATTATTCTTTAACAGTATAGAAGCATTTAATTCTGCATTAAAATGTATATCATCCTCTAATGATAAATTTCGAAAAAATTTCTTATTTTTATGTATGTTATTCATGCTATTTTTATCTATGTCATTCATGCTATTTATTTTAATTATTTGCTTATTTCTCTTATATAATAGTACCTCTCTCTCTGGAATATTATTTTGCAAATTTATTTCAGTTATATCCTCCTTCGTTACATCACTTTCTAACATATTGTTACTTAATTTTACATTAATTCCTTTTTCTTTATTTATATTTTTTATATCATCTTCCAGAGTCTCCTCTGTATGATCAATTTTTTTCATATTTTTTCCTTCATTTGTAATATCAATTTGAATCTTATTCTTTTGGTCTATAAATTCGTCTGGAGTTAATATATTACAAGTAATATTAGCATGTAATTTCGAAATATTACTTCTTAACTTTGTGTTTGAATTTTTAGCGTTTTTATTGTAATTGTTTAACATCAGAATGTTATAATTCAATATTCGAGAATCGGCATAATTAATATCATCATTTAGTTCAGGATCTAACTCTGTAAGATCATTATGTACTAAACCTGAATTATCACATGTAAGTGTATGTTCTACTTCTTCTTCGCTACTATATTCTTCAAGAGACAAATTATACGGAAAACTCATTTGATTATCCATCAAATATGAAATTCTGTTATGCTTTTCAATTTGATTAAATTCTTTATTAATAGCATCAACATCTTTCTCGCTCATATCACTTATGCCTTCAATATCAATTTCTAACTTCCGACAGTCATTTTGCTCGACTGCGCCTTTAGTTATTGTATTGTAAGTTTTGCATTTATTACGTTTATTTGAGAAACTGGAATTATCAAAGTACTTCACTATTTCCTCAGCATTTATTTTGCTCAATAGTTTGGGTTTAATATCTAATTTCGTTATTTTTACATTAGGCGTTTCAGTTTCTTCATTCCATGTTGGCTGACTTCTCGAAATTGAATTCCTACTCTCTATAAAATATTTATTAATTTTTAATTGAGCGCATTCGGTCGATAATGGTTTAAGTTCATTTTCTATAGCCTTATTTCTTGCCTTTTGTTGTTTCAAATCTTGTTTTAGCTTATCGGGTATACTGTCACAGCCAACAAAATTCGGAACAATGTACGAGTTCTGTGGTGGCAGCAATCTCGAAGTTTGCATAGATAATTCTTCAAACTGTTTCTCTTGCGTTGGAGAAGGTGATGTCAACGTTACAATTGGGCATACTGATTCGCGTTGCATGTTTGTAGTAACCGTTGGTATTATTGTTAATGCATTGATTTTTTTGTCAATAATTTCGCTCATATAAATATTATTATTATCATTTATTAACTTAATATTTCTATCTTTGTTAGTAATCAGTTCTTTACTTTTGTTAATAACATAAGTATTTTCACACTTACACTTTTCTATCTCTACGGGCAAATTAGATTCTAAGAATTTTATCGAGTTGTTCACGTTGTTGCTGATAGCTGAATCGCTACATAACATTTCAGTCGATTGATAGATCTCTGACGATGAAGAAGATAATGAATCTTTACTTTCATTTAAAGAGGTAATCATATCCGACGATTTATTGATAACTAAGTTATTTCCGCTATTAAATATTATGGAATCCTTGTCCATTTCAATACAAGATGTAGCATTTGCTGGAACAGCTTTCGCAACCTGTTTCAAACTATTTTGATCATTATGTGCAACATCTTCTTCTAGATTATCAGCAAATAAAGTTAATTTAGAATTCGTCATTATATCGCCTAGATCTGTAAAATTGTTAACGTTTATAGCAAAATCAATTGGAGTTAAACCGAAATTTATTATGTTACTATCAAAGATTTTATTTTGCACATTTTCTTGATCAACACTATGATCTAAATTATTTAAATTTAACCAGATATCTTCATCTATAAAATTTCTGCACTCAAAATTTCTATCTTCTTGTGTTAAGTAATTATTAGTGGCTATATTTGGCGAAGAACTTAACAATCTACTTTGGCTCATATTATTATCGTTATTATTTGATATTAAAGAATATGTTGGACCGGTCGCATGAATTATATACTCAAAATCTTGTGTGATAACATTAGGAGATATATCATTATTAGGCAAAATTAAATTATCTTGATTGCATGTATTTACAGCTAAATTACTAGAAGTGAATGCAAACTCTTTGGAAATTTCGAATGATTTTCGGTGATCGTTTTTATCAGACAAACAATAATATATATCCATTCGATTCGACGGTATTATCTTAGAGTCAGGAGAAACAAAAGATTTTTGCTTTGTAATAAAATCTATAGAGCCTAAAAAATTGTTCACCTCTGTTTCTGAACCCGTATCAGTATCGGAGTTGCGTGGTGGCATTTTTAACCAGACTTCTTGTTTTCGGAGTTCTCGTGCACGTACATCTTCTTCATTTTCAGTCGCCGTACCGCTTTCATCATCTAAAAAAATTAAATTACATTATATATAATCATATATAAGGAGTACGGAAAAAGCAACGCAACATCCTTATACTAATCTATTTAAACTATTAAAAAACTATGAACATTAGAAAAATATATTTTAGACCATAAAGCATGTGTATTATATTTAACAGTAGTTTGATTTTGACGATCGTATCCAAAGTTTGATCAAAATCATCTTGAATTTTCTAAATAAAATAGATAAAAGAAAAATGGCCTAAAAGAACCAGTCATGACTATTAGGACGAATAATTTTAAATTACAGGAGAATAATAATGTTTGAATATTTGATAACACACATACCGAATATTTTTCCAGACTTGTAATGTACGTGGTAAAGTACACGTTAATCTTCCATATTAAACTACCCTGAATCCTCTAAATATTAATATTAATAAAACTCCATTACATGTGAATTATACAAAAATGATCCTCTCTTTAACCCTTTACGAAATGAAAAGTTGTTCAACGACCCATTTTTTCCGCACAGTTTTTAACTATTTTAATGTACGATATTTCTTGAAGTACCAATGTTTTTTGTTTACGTAAAATCCCTAGTGCATGAACAAGTGTAAAAAAAGTAAATAAGCGTAAATTTTTATTTGCATAATTATTGTAATTAAACATTCAAAATTTGTATTTTTATGAAAACATTTATTTTCTACTAAACTATTATCACTATAGGAACAGCAATTTATATACATTTTTGGTATTCCAAAATATTTTTCAAAATTTTTATCAGATTTTCTCGCTACGTTCTTCTTATATCGCTACGTTCTTCTTATAAGATTATTATAAAATAATAATCTTTGAATAATAATTTTTGAAAAATATATAAAAATCAATATTTTCTACTGTAAATTTAAATAAATAATTTTAGTAGTGTCCTGACAATTTTGTTGTTTCATTCAATCCTAATTTAAGCTCAGAATTATCTAATTAAAAAGAAACCAATATAGTGAAATCAGAGTATAAAACTGTATAAATTTACAACTTTATTCCTGATTCGTAATCAGCAACTCGGAAAATCCCCTGGTACAAAGTTTCGAAAAAATTGGTCTGATTCAAAAATTCATTACACAAAGTATTATTCGTTATACAAAATACAGTTGCAAAAAATATTATCTCAGCTAGAAGTGAAATATGGATTTCAATACTTGCCGCATTAGATGTCATACAATTCAACGACTAAGCCTTTAATGATATTGTTCACAACAATAATAAATAATTCTTACAATAAAATCCTTATATCATAATGAATCAAAATATCAAGAATAGATAATAAAGTTTTATTAACCCCTTGACTGTGTGGCAAAAATGAGACTTCCGTGCAACCAGGGTGTAAAGTGTTTCTTTTTACATTTCCGCTATCATTTTAGTATTAAGGTTTCCAAGGTTACTAAATCCGAATATGATATCAGAATTTTAAAATTCAAAATAGCGGGTCCAATATGGCGGATCAAAATATAAAAATCAAATTATTTTTCCAATTTTTGATCGACTATATTGGATCTGTCATTTTAAATTTTAAAATTCTAATATTATATTCGGATTCAGAGACCTTAAAAACTGTAAGATACTAAGCTGCATACAAATCGCAAAAGGATAAATCGGTTTCTTTTAAGTGTACATATATGTACATTGCACACTGATGGCATGTACTTTTTCTGTACACATATGATACCTACACATTCAAAGAGTAAATATTAATAACCTTGTATGTATGTATATGTGTGTGTCCACGTGCGTGCGCACGTAATATATGTGCATATTATTTCATGCCTCTCACTCACTTCTTCAACAAATAACTGATAAGAATCGTAAAATTCGAAGTGATTGTCTCCCCATGGATTAATAATTTATGGAAGAGAATATATATTAGCATCCATAGTCTTTTATAAACATTATATCTGCTTTTAGTACAAACTGACCAAATTTTTTAAATATTTACCATTTCTCTGCAGAAAACTGCGGAATAATAATGGGTAAGTATGCCGTTTAGGGGACCCACCTTTAATAATTTTGCCTGTTACATATATTGGGAGTGTGCATTAATTTTAAAAAATTTTTAAGAGATGGCATAAATAGTACTATATTGCATCGGGCCATATTGTTGTTACCTTCATGTCAAAGCACCATCATGTGACTTTAGTTTTCAGTATGTGTCATTTTGCCGAAGTATAAACAACATTGTTTTTTTGAGCATTGTGTCACGGTTCCGGTTTCGGAGCGGCGGGCGACCTTGGTGTCGTGGTGCTTCTGGTCGTGACACGTAAGGAGACGTAGGATGTGCTCGCCGGTGTCCAGAGTCGAGCGTGAACGGGGGGGGAGGCTGTGTGCTTCGTGTTTGAACAACTAAGTTTATTTCGGTCTGTTACAATCGCGGGTTTCCTTAATTCTAGCGCGAACTTATATCTATCTTACTTCTAGCGCGGGCGAACTTATATCTAACGAGAACTTACACTTAGGCTATATCTAACTTAAAACTAACGCGGATTTCCGATAGTCGCGGCGGCGCGGTCGGGCGCGTGCGGACTCGCGGCGACGTGGTCGGGGCCGGTGCGCGGTGTGTCTTTCCCGTGGCGGAGCGCCTACTGCGGTTTGCCCGGCGTACGCGGCGCGGGCTCGTGTCGGCGGACGGGTGGCGGCGTGCCTTGAGGTGCAGGTCGGCGGTGGAGAGGAAGCCGCTTCCGGGGAGCCCAGAGCTCAGGGCAGAGATGGTGAGCGCGCCACCTCTATATCCCGCGGTTGCTGGCGAACCTCTTTTCTGGTTGGTACGGACCTTGAGGGCAGATGAGCGCACCTTTCCTCTTAGTCGGGTCTCCAAGCGGCCGGGAGGTCAGGAGCGCTTGACCGAGGCGGTGAGCGCGCCACCTCTGGTTCCCTGGCCTCTTGGGGAGCGGATGTGACGGATGGCCGTACTCGGGGCAGATGAGCGCACCTTCCCGTCGTAGCGGTTTTCAGGATGCTGGTGGTAGCCAGCGAGGAAGCGGCGAACGTACGAAGGCGCGTACGGGCGCCGCGGGATTGCTCCTTATCGTTATCGTGCGTTGCTTATATACCGGCCGGCTCGCACTTTCGGCACGTACGCCGTTCCCCCACGCCCGGGTATCCGCGGCGGTGCTGCGAGCCGGCGGCGGTTTTGATTATCTTTGTTTGGCGCTTTGCGCCTTTTACACGACCTGACGGATGTTTATGTCAGGCCGTGGTGACGAGGAGGGACGTCTCGTCACAATTGAATATGTCGAATTTTGTGCCAACAAAACGCAATTTGCGGGAAGCTTTGCTTTTTTGCTTTTATTTGAAGAAAAGTGCTGCTGAAAGTCAACGAATGCTGTCGGAAGCTTATGGTGATTATACTCCATCGATTTCAACAGGTGAGTACTGGTTTCGATGCTATAAAAAAAGTGATTTTGACACGGAAGACAAGGAACGTCCAGACCAGCCGAAAAAGTTTGAAGATGAGGAAGTAGAAGCTTTACTCGATCAAGATCCGAGTCAAACGCAAGAAGAACTTGCAAAATCATTAAATGTTGATCGATCAACGATTTCCAGACGTTTTAAAGTCATTGGAATGATTCAAAAGCAAGGAAATTAAGTGCCATACGAGTTGAAGCCGAGGGAAGTCGAAAGGCGCAAAATTACCTGTGAATTGTTGCTTCAAAGACACAGAAGAAAAAGTTCATCGTATTGTGATGGATGAGGAAAAATGGATACGCTACGACAATCCGAAGCGCAAAAAATCATGATGCAGGTCAGGCGAACCATTAACATCGACGGTAAGGCCGAATATTCATGGCGCCAAGCTCATGCTCTGTATTGGGATCCGCTGGGTGTAGTGTATTATGAGCTGCTCCAACCCAACAAAACCATTACTGGGGAACGCTACTAACAACAATTGATGCAATTGAGCTGAGCATTGAAGCAAAAACGGCTAGATTATGCGAAAAGACACGACAAGTGATTTTCCAACACGACAACGCTCGACCACATGTTGCGAGACCGGTCAAGGAAACGTTAGAAGCGCTTAACTGGGATGTCCTACCATCCGCCGTATTCTCCAGATATTGCTCCTTCCGATTACCACCTATTTCGATCGATGACTCATGGCCTGTCTGAGCAGCGCTTCCATTTTTATGAGGATACTAAAAAATGGGTCAATCGTGGATAGCCTCAAAAGATGTATCGTTCTTTCGACGTGGAATCCACCTATTACCAGAAAGATGGGAAAAAGTTGTGGCTAGCGATAGACAATATTTGACAATGATCAATTTATAACCATTTTTTTCACAATAAAGCCGAATTTTTACCAAAAAATCCCTTAAAATTAATGCATATTCACAATATTATCAAAGACACTCTTCTGAGTAATATTCAAGGAGTTTTAGCGGTTGTTCATTGCTTATTAAAAAGTTATTAATAAAAGAATTTTTATAAATAGAACGTAATTTTCCGACACTATTTACATATTTAAAAAGTGAACACACGCTATACACATGCTATATAGAGGAACCCGGGTCATAATAAGCACAATATAGGTTAAACAAGTTTTAAACATATTAAAAACAAATAAATAAATAAAAATAAATAAATCAACTTAGTTTTACTAAGTAAAACTTAAATATTCTTTGGAATATCTACTATAAGAAAAACACAAGTTTTATTACAAAAGAATATATTAAAAGAACGAAATTATTATTTTATTGAAAGTGTGCATTAATCTCATAATACTGTGTAACAACCAAACTCCGCGTGTTAGTTGTCGTGTATACATTTGGATTATTCGCTCGCCGGAGTCCGGGTTCGTGAAATAATTGACATAAGACGCGAATTATAATAAACAAAAATAACAAGAGTTTATTAGTCCTTTGTACAGAGTGGTCTCGCACGAGTACGTAGATCTCCTGGGAGACGCCGCCAGTTACCGGGTCGCGGTTTAGGTAGGCCGCAATAGCTAAGATGGTAGGCGGAGCGTATAG